AAAACTTATAGATATTATTGAGAAATATCGTCAATTCTACAACTATAAATATCAAATGGTTTGGACACGAAGACAAATCTCAATGTATACACTTTCTTTAAATACATTTCCAACTCCTCAATTCAACGAAATAACCCAACTAGCTATTGATAAATTCCCTAACACATTTGAAAACGACTCCATTTCAAATATTCAAAAATGGAAAGTGTTCTTCGATGCTTATGGAACGCATTTTGTTGCTAGCTCTGACATGGATGGTTTGTTATGGACAGAAGATTATTTTGAAGAATGTCTAATTACAAAATATAGTGAAATATGGGTTAGGGAACAATTGAGAAGAAACTATTGGTTTTTTGGCGACCAAACTTATTCAGAAAGTTACACAATGGATGTCGAGCAAATCTGTAAAAAATATAGTTTCTCTATGTCCAAAGAATGATTGGTGGTATTGGTAATAATCCAACTGAAGCTTCTTCCATCGAACCCTATATTATTGATGCTTGGATTTCAACACTTAAAAATTACCCACAACCAATTAACTATCGTCTTCTACTGATTTACACATTAGTTCCAAAAAGTGATAAAAAAGAAGCAATGAAAAAAGCAACATATTACTTTCGATTACAGTCAGTTTCAGACGCAAATATGTATATTCAACGTTTACAAATACATTCAAATCCACCACTTCTGCCAGAATTAGATTGTTCTCCGAATGCACAACGAAGAAAACGTTCTATCATGAGCTCTATATTTGATCTCACAGCAGCATGAAAAAACCTCTTTCCAGGTGATTCATCTTGGAACATCAGTTTCGTCAACTCATCATTCACCTCTAAAGCTCTATCATGTTTGCCACCACAGACTTGCCAAAAGGTGTTGGTATGGATATGGATATCAGTACTGGCAACGTCCTTTTACCAGCTTTGCAATTCACTCATACACTCTCTCCTTCATCTGACTTTCTATGGAAAGATTCTCATTCTGGTCGTGTCTTTATCTTGCTGAACGAAGTTATTCTCAAACTGTTGAATGACAAATCACTCGATGTGAATGTTAGTTCGTATTCCAGACCAACTGAATTCATAGATGCATGGTTAGGTACAGGAGCTGGTAGTGACTGGTCTATAAGTTTTCTTTCCAATCTTCAAGATATTTTCCACATTCATTCGACATATTTTCTCAATGATTAAAGGATTGCTATTGCTCAAAACTATTGTAAACTCTATAATCTACAAGTTAAAGCAATGGATAATCCTGCTTACCTATCATTGAACTCATATGCTCGTACTGCAATAAATAAGCTAACTGATGTCTATGATGAAGATCTGTACAATGCATGTTTCAATGCCTGGGGAACTCATATAGCTGTTCAGACAACAGTTGGTGGTGTTAGTAAAAAAAAATTCTATTTCAAAAATGTTTAAACTCAAGTACAGCACGATTGAATCTGAAAACAGAACTTCTCTCAAAACGTTCATGTATTAGTGAAGATTATCATAAATAGCGAGAAACATTTAGCGATCAGCGTATAGATGGAAATGTTGACTTGATTCAAGACATAAATGAGTGGTTCCCTATACTGGCATATGCTCCTGCCATGACATCTGTTAAACGATATGCTTCATGGGCTGATATTGTAACAAATTCATCGATAAAAAAAATTTGCAAGGTTCAATCATTAGACGAATTAATAATGCCAATAAAGATCGACAAGAACAAGTAGATAAAGTATTAGAAAAGCGAAAACTCGACAGTATACCAGCTGATTGGATCCTATGGGGAGTAACTCAGATTGATAATTTAGCAAATTCTTCAATCATATAAAATCCAACAGTTTCCCGTCATGCCCTTGTTCACAATATTAATACTTGTGGTTCAGGTTCAACGCAAGAAGAACTCTTATCTTCTTCTTGTACGTTTACAACTAAAATGACTGCTTGTGCATTAGAATCAAATTCTCTTACTGATGTGACCACAGAAGTATCGATTTCATATGAAAGAAATTTGATTACAGGTGATCTGCGTGTTATAGCTTTGCGACAGTATGGTATTGGTGGAGGCCAAACTCCATTCAAAAGTAGGTATAGATTTACTTCTTACTATATATTATTTAAGTCATTTTTTGTTAAACCTTTTTTAAATTACGATCGTATTGGTAACTGGGTTAGAAGTGGTTGTTCTGAAATAATAAAAAATCGGTGTGGATCATTGGAATTGTATAGTGTTCACCCAGTTCAATTATGTACACGTTGTCGTGTAATCTGTGCTGATAAGATGAACACGAATTTGACTCGTCATTGCACGTGTCCCTCATTGGCTAAAAATAACTGCCCGACTTATTCGGGAGTACGACCTTATCAACCATATTGTAACAATAATGCCTGAGAAATGCTGTGGAAGCTCAATGACAGTTTTTTTATTGTTTATAGTTATCCAATATACCCGATTTCGTTTTTTTTGCGGTATGTATGCTCTTTGCCGAAAAACGCAACATTGAAAGTATTCTTTGACTGTGGAGGGCGCTGTAAAGGTGAGAATAAGGACAAAATGAATTGATCTTGTCGTGCTTAACAAGTCTATGCAGGAGTTAAAGAGTTTGCAACGGTCTAAAGCATTTCCAAGCCTTTTGATAAAGAGGCATACAACCGTATAATGTGAAATAAAAAAATAAATTTCACGAATATTATGAAAGAATGTATGATGCATCAGATAACAACCTTCTCTATAAAAATACAAATCAAGTTTTTTAGTAGGAAAATATTGGCTTTGCAGAATACTTGATTGTTACATGTTCAGTTATTTCTAAACTTGTCCTTCACTTTATGTTAAACATGTTCATGTTCAGAGACGTGCATCTACTACTTTATTTCTTTAATAGAAAGTTTGAATAGATTTTTCTTTTTTTTATGCAATAATAAAGAAAATGATGCTCTATTTTTCTGTGCCATTTCATCACTCTTCATCTAATTCATAATCATAAAACTTCAATGAGAACTATTTTTGTGTACAACTTCACTAGTATTTGAGGAAGATTATATGGTCACACTTTGGTTTTTGTTGCTTTTCAGTTTTCAGTCACTTGATAGGTTTTTCTTAAAGCAGAAAATACACCACTAGATACAGCGTGAAGAACGCTACAAACTGTATAAGATACAAAGAGGAAGGAGTGATCGTTCATCTACTTCCAAAGTATTTGAAATTACGAGAAAATATTTGGAAGTATGATGAAAACGAGCGAAGTACGCACTTCCGAAGTATCGCTCTTTCCTTTCTGAATAGATCACTTTTTTGAATTGCGTATTTCTTGTTCCAAAAAAGAAACAAAAAAGAGCTATTTATTCTGTATTTAATGCTGTATTTTCTTCCTTAATACAACCTATCAAGCGACTAAAAACTGAAATGCAAAGACGTCCGAGTGTGGCTACATAATCTATCTCACATACTAGTGAAGTTGTGCACAAAAATAATTCTTATCAATATTTTATTAGTACGATATTAGATGGAAAGTGATGAAATGGCACATAAAAATAGAACATCGTTTTTTCTGTCACTTATAAAAAAAAGAGCAAATCAACTCAAGGTTTCTATTAAAGAAATAAAATGATGATGCCATGACTTTTGTTATGTCCTAAGTAGATATTAAATTTTATCAGTCTAGTTTCAAGCGTATCGATGTTCGATATATGTTACTTGTGGTTAAATAGATTTATTTTGGTAAAAAGTAAAACACAAGAGATAAGACAAGAGACCAGTATTGGTTCAAAAATTTTGTGTCCAATCGACGTTTAACACTTGTTCTTTTTCTCAGATATTCAAAAATGTATGGAATACTAAGTCTTGCACAATATATTTTATTATCGGTTTTGCTTGATGCATACTTCTAATAATTGAATGTCCATAAAACTCATCTTCTTTGACCATACTGTTTACTTGCATTTCAATAGGAAATGGTTCAGCTGTTAGACGAAAAATATCTTTCATCAGATAATAGTACAATCGAAATGGGTAAAGTATTGTGTGCATTTCATTATATTTATTGTGATGCTTTACATAACATGAAGCTACGATGCCATTGACCAATAACGTGCCTGTGTATGTCATAGGAGTGATGAAACCAGTTTTGTAAAGAAGTTCAATTGATGTTATAGATACAGGAATCGGATTCTGAGTACCGGACTCAGCCATCAAAAGGTAATCATTGACTTTCAATTCATTTGCAGCAACCATAGTTGAACGTTTCTCCCCCAAATTGTAGGTCATAATTGAATGATCACTAGTTAGAGTAATGGTTTGGTTGAAGGAAGTTGTGATGGTGTAGAATGGAGCTAAATAAGATGACTCTTTGTTTTTCAAATTCATCTGTGGTGCAAAAAATGAATTACCTTCTGTCTTTGACCCTCCATGTAAAATCATAATGATTTCATCTTTGACAATTTGACCTTGCTTATCAACAGAATAAACTTTATCACCACTACGTAGATCTTTCATTTGCTTTCGAGAGCCGTCTTGTAGTGAAACGAAATCATCACCAAATAAACATGAACCACTAGGATGTTGAAAGCAAAAACAGTCAGCTGACATCACAGAAATCAAAGAATTTAAATTTTGTGTCATAGAAATTTTGAAAAACTAAATAACGGGTAGCCCATAAAAATTGCCCTCTCAGTATTTTGTAAGATTTGTCAACTATTATCCCTATGATTAAAATATCTTTTTTATCAAAATATTGCGCTTGAAATTCTCTACAAAACCATATGTGAGCTGGCCCCAAAGCTGTCTTAGATATATTTGAAAAAAGACAAAAACTGAAAATATACAAAATGCTGTAAAATGTAAATAACGGATGTTTCATAAGAAATGGCCGCACTTTACATTTCATATTTTAATCTCTAAATAGGTTTTAATAAAAAAAAAATACACCATAAAATGCAGGATGAAAAGTTCTACTATCTACAAATTAAAGTCTATTTTAATTGAATAAATTTTGTTTACAAAAAAAAAAAAGCAAGATTTTATGCAACCAATTTTCACCACTGTGAAAAAAAAGTCATTTATTTTTACACGAACGAGAATTCATTTTCTTATTTTGTCTGGTTACCACCTAATATAGTTCCTTAAAAAAGACAAAATGTATCACAAGATGCAACGTCAATAGCACTATAATTTACAAAGAAAAATTTATCTTATTTGTGCCATTTTTAAGTTGAAAATTTTCATTCTGCTTCTTATGGTATATTTTGCTTTTTTAAAAACACCTATTTAAAGACTAAAATATAAAATACAAAGAGCGGCTGTTTATTATTGGTGACATATTTATGTTTTACAGCTGTTTGTATGTGTTTAGTGTTCGTCATTTTTCAAATATATCTAAGATTATTTTGGGGCCAACTCGTACATGGTTTTGTAGAGAATTTCAAGCGCCATCTTGTGATAAAAAAGATATTTTCATCATACGGATGATAGCCGACAAATCTTAAAAACACTGAGAGGGCATTTTTTTATGGACCACCTGTTACTAAATGTTAGATGGGAACTTGTTCTGTTTGCTCCTTAGGTTTTTAATATTTTTTCAATACGGCTCCAGGTATATAGGGTCTTATAGCAAAGTCTCCTAGCTTGATAAGGCAGTTACTCTATCCATCAGCGGTAAACTGACAAGTTATGTTCTTGTAGTACGAATTTTATTATCACTAGTCTTTTCTCAATTTTTTTAGGTTACCCGTTGTCACATGATGTTCCCCAAGCTATACACCTTCCGCCACCACAGCATT